AAAACCTTTGGATAATATTTGCGTCGGGTTCCACAGTTGTAGCCATCAGAGTTATCACCCGTGCTTCAGGCATGTCGCTGATAGTATTTGTAGGCTTGAAGGCATATAGTGGTGAGTTATGATGTAGGAAATCAGGTCCTTCCCACCAAAGTTTCATTGATTCCATTTTTTCAGCGCTAACTCCTCGCGATAATGGATCGGCTGGATTGTCCTTGGATTTGACATGATACCATGGAGCACCGTTCGTGATGCGATTTATTTCGGCTACTCTATTGGCCACAAATGTGTGCCATTTGTTTGCTTCACTAGATATCCATGACAAGACTATTTCAGAATCACTCCAATAACATGTATCCTGCAGCTGAATAGTTAGTGCTTGAGACGCCTTTTCGCCTAGGTGAACCAATAATACGGCCGCACATAATTCTAGCCTTGGCAAGGTTATTTTCTTTAGGGGGGCTATTCGTGATTTAGCACATAAAAGCTTGACTGTATATCTTCCTTCGGAGTTGACACTGCGCAAATATATGCAAGCGCCGTATGCAGCCTCGGAGGCGTCACAAAAGCCATGGAGTTCTATCCTTATAGGATTATGACATAGAACTTTTCGTGGAATGGAAATATTTTCAATTAGCGTGATTTGCGCCTTCCATGAGATCTACATTGCGCATGTCTCTCCCGTAATGTTTTCATCCCAATCCTTGTTCATCTGCCAAAGAAGCTGCAATATTATTTTAGCGCGAACTACTAAAAGGCCCATCCATCCGAGGAGGTCGTAAATAGCGGCTATTCTTGACAATATATTGCGTTTCGTAATCCTTTCCTTATCATTTCCTCCCTTGACGCGATAGTGAAATGTGTCCGTATTTGTGTTCCACCATAGGCCTAGGATTTTTGTTGTTTCTCCGATCCTAACTGCAACTTCATTGTTGTCTGATTCGCTTATCTTTGCAGTGTTGGATTTCCACTTGCTGAGTTCAAATTTTGCGCTGGACAGTACGTTAACGATATCATGTTTCAATTTTTTCAGCTCTTCAATTGAATTGGCTCCCGTTAATAGGTCGTCTACGTAAAAATCTTTGATTATTACTTCACACGCCCGAGGGTAGTGCTTTTTGGCTTGATGCGCTGTCTCTTGCATACTTCTAATGGCTTCGAATGATGAGTTTGTCATGCCGTACGTGACTGTATTATAGTAGTAGCCGTATTCAGCTGTATTATAAGAATTGGTCCGTTAGGTGACCATCTCCACAATGCGTTGATATTTACGATGTTCATCCGCCACCTCGACTTGGCGATACATTTTAATGTCTGCTGCCAATGCATACTCGTGCTGACGCAGTCGTATAATTATGTCGGATAAGTCATCTTGCAAGTTTGGACCTGTCTGGAGAAAGTCATTAAGTGATTGGCCAGAAGTTGTTTTGCATGAAGCGTCGAAAACTACTCTTAATTTTGTAGTTATGCCGTCCTCTTTTAGTACTGCATGATGCGGAATGTAGTAGACCGGTTTGTCATCTATTTTGTCTACTGGAACTTCCGACATGTGGTTTAGCTCGAGGTATTCGTGCATAAACTCGTGGTATTGCTGTTTTAAAGCGGGCTGCTTTTCTAACTTGCGTTCCAGTGCCTTTAGTCGCTTCACGGCGATTTCATAGGATTCTCCTAATTCTTAAATGCCATCCTTCAGCAGTAATTGTATTACGAAACGGCCTTCCGCGTTCCTAGAGTGTGTTGCGAGAAAGTGTTCCTGGATTTCTTCTTGAGAATAATGCTTAGGTTGTTTTATTTCTTCCATATGCCAAAATTTTTCCAGTTGCCGTTGAATTTCTGCGTTGGTAGAGATGCCACAATATGCCTTGTGTTGTTGTTGATGCGTGCCACTTTGGTGCACGTTGCCCGAAATTATCCAACCCAAGGAGGTTTCTTGAACTATAGGAGCCTTCCTTGATGATCTGATTTGCTTGCTTCCTAAAAGCTCCCAAAAAACGGATGCTCCCAACAACAAGTCTATGTTTCCGGGAATATGATAATTCGGATCCGCTAATTTTAAGTTTCGTGGAAAACTTAAGCTGCTTTCATTTATTTTAGCTGTTGGCAGGCGGTCAGTTATTTTGTCGATGATTAAAAAGGGAAGCCTTACTTGATATGCGCTTGTACGCGATTGTATTGTTGCATCGACTTGTTGGACGGCACTTATGGGTGTGTCGCTTATGCCCAAGATGGTCCTGTCAATAG